GCGTGTTCTTGGCTGTATTTTTAAATATTAAGTAAATATAGATTTAAAAGCTTCAAACAGATTACATGACTACTTGTCAAAGGTAAAAAAAATATTTTCGAAATGACTGAATTTTATAATAGTTTAAAATTACATATGTTTTCGTGCACATAGATTTAGCGTCATTTTTCTAAAAATCACTCTTGTTTATGTAAAATTCTACCCAAATAACTTACATGTTCTGCATTTATTAGAATCCTCAGAAACGTCCACGAATGTTTCAGTGAGGGTAAATCCATAAATTTTCTTATAGCGTGTGTTTAGAAGCTAAGAAGGGATCGGGGTAGTGAAGAGGATAGATACCTACAAATCTATAGATTTTCTTTCAATCAATCTTTCAATTACAGTTTTCTTCAAATTATAAATCTATAGATTTATAATTTGAAAGGTATGTAATATTTGTGATAATATAATTTAAATGAGAACCGACCTAACTATTCGCCGTTCTAGTGGTTGATAGTTTGATTTTCGATATTTAAAACTATTTTGTAATACATCTTTAAATTCTCATTAACTATAGATTCATAAACATGTATTGGATTCATGAATATTCGTCAAACAATCTAGAAAATACTTAAAAGTTCATCTTTCTATCTCATCTCTTTAAAAGTGTCCACATATTTCGCGAGGTCTGTGAGACGAATGTTTGTGAATAGGGGTAAAGACGGTTAGACGATTGAAAAAAATTCATGTTTTGTGTCAATTTCAATTCTTAATTTCAATTTATAGTATTGGAAAAAATACCATACAATTGATTTAGTAAACTCAATACATTTTACGCATACCATAATAAGAGTAAAGCCAAATGTATTTTGTATTTTCATAAATTTCATTTTGCTTTATAACTAATAATCTTTTCGAAAAGTGAAAATTCAAAGCTAAGTTTGTCAATGTTAATAAGTAGATCATATTTTAAATCATGAACAGATAATTGCTTTGTATCGCATTTAAAAACAGAAGTGTTAAGTAAATCTTTCATAATTAGATCACGTTTGATACGCAATTTTAGATACACACGGTGAGAATATTAAAAGTTTTGTTTCGTCGTACGACGTGACTATTTCTAAAATTATTCATTAAGCACATTCTTTTTAGTCTTTCTCGTAACTTTTTATCAGTAGTTTGTCGTCTTTTATCTAATGAGTTACCTTAACAATACGATCATAATGCATGGGTTTTTCGCTTCGTTAACTCCGAAAGAGCTTTGGCACCCACCTCAACCCATGACGTGACATCCGAAAGCGTCGCCCAATCAATGGTGGTCCTAAACATTTGTCACTACAGGAGGACACGTACGCTCATCATCAGTTGCTGAACTATTTAATTGACTATGTCCAGAATAAATAAACTTGTAATTTGATAGATATTTCCTCTCTAGTTTGGGAGGGGTTATCGCGTGTTTATCAAGCGTAATTGCACAGTTGGATCTCGCCGAGAGAGACCACGTGATCTGCGCACCTGCATACACTGGTCCAATCAGACCTTAATTGTTATTAAGATCCTTCCCCCATTATCTTTCTGTTCCCCCCTTCTGTCCTGAAGCACTTTTGCTGTGAACATGCTGTGATGGATATGATCTGTCAGAAGTTGTTCTAGGGTTGCCAGAAAGATTGGTACCTGAAGATATGATTACATTTTTTCGGAATTAGATACCGCTCACCAAGCTGGAAGCCAAGAAGATAAAAGCAATATGGAATGGTGCACATGAACTTACCCCACGCTGTTAAGAACTGAGGATGAGTGATTGCTTCATAAATGGATGAGTGCTTATTATTTAAAACTAATGTTAAGATATTAAAGCTTATTACGCTGCCCGTAGAGTTTGATAATTATTCTGAATAGTCGATGAAGATGTTGTGGATTTAAAATTGCTTTTATTTGGTTGCTATTTTGAACCTGATAACGATTGTACCTGATAAAATGAAGCATTTTCGATTGGAAATTTAAAACCTCGGAACGTTTAAGATAATTCAAGTATACATTACATTCATGTGGACCGCGCGTCCTTATTCTTCGACATGGAGCTTTTAACCTTAATAAAATGGCATTAAAAGTATTATAGCTATTAGTTCAGCTATAAATGCTTTCAGCATTTTAGAATCTTAATAAAATATTTTTACATTTGTCTAACAAAGAGAAAAACAACTGAAGTTCTTATTTTTTGTAAATATTAATGGGTATTGCAATAATAAATAGTATATACTAAGTAATTATATATATTTTTATTCTTTAAAAGAGGGGACATATTCAAGAAAGTCAGGAAGTTGAATAAATTTTGCAGAAAAAAATTTATACAAGGATTTTTTCCCCCGCATTTTCAACTACTTTCACGCGATATAAAATCACAGCGAATTAAAAAATGAAAGCAGTGAAACAAAAAGGGAAAAAATACCATTAAATGGGGGATAAATAGTGTAAAAGTAAGCTATTTCTTTTATTAATTTTATTTTAATTTTAAATAAAATTAATAAAAGAAATTGCTCGAATCATGAAGTTCAAATTGCACATTCGAATTCTTGTTCCTGCAGCTAATTAGGACCCGGTTAATACTAATGTACCGGTAAATAATAATGCAGTTATTTAGCAGATATTAAGTTGTTTTTTTTATGTGAAAAGTTTCAAGAAATTTTGTGGCTTGTTTTTATGTTTAATTTCAACCCCTCAATGAGTGAAACCCGAGGACGTTCATGATTATTTATTATTCCATTTTGCGGTAATACTTAACAGCTGATGCATTGTATCAAACAAATTTTTTATTATTTTATTGATTAGTTACCTATAAAATAAATTTACACATGTGTATATTAATTTTGTAGTATAATAATTAAAAAAAAACAATAAAGACCGGCTATTACAAATAAAAGCGTGACTTTTTAATTTTAACCCACTGACTTCAATCAGAAAAATTGCAATCATACTACTACTTCAATTGGAGTTTAAAACGGCGTCACAATTTTGCAATCATACAATTAACAAATTTGCAATCGTACTACTACTTCAATTGGAGTTTAAAACGGCATCACTAAATTAAAACCACCTATATATTTCCATACGATGTTCTATTATTTTGTAAATGCGATTGGTTTGTATCTCCCCACCACTCAGAATTTTCTTAACAACTTAGATATTTTGCTTCAACCTTTTCTTTTTTTCTACAATTATTTTTAAAAAATAATAATTATGTGACTTCTTATTGTTTTACAAGAAGCCTTCTTACAAGTGAAAATAGGTTTCAGATTATTTTAGCAATCGAAACTTACATTATTTTAACCATCGCATGTTCCTCCAAAAAGAGAATCTACTTTACGAACAGCTATATCATGACAATTCCTGACTTGTCGAAATAATATATCTTTTCTTAATTATAGCCTGCAAAAAATAACTAAATGTATAAAGAATCATTATTAAAGACCATCCTTGTGATACTTCCTTTCTAGCTCACGATCATCTTATTTTGTGAGCATTTATAAGCTATTCTATTTTTTCCCCTGCCCTCTTTAAAATAGCGCGATAACATCTCTGATTATTACTGCCATTTTTGAAAAGTGGTTGCTGGAACTCCTATGTCATTTCATTCCGTCTCTTTTTCAATCGTTCTAAACCTCGCATTACCTTTATTTTTATGGCAGCACGAAACAAATAAATCTCAACGGGGTAGGTGGGACATAAGCGATTGAATTGCTCATTTATTTCTCTCACCTTAAGGCCTGAAACTGAGTGTTCAAGAGGTGGGCGTATGAACACATTCGAGCGTCATTTGACATCGTTCTTTGCCTTGCTGTTTGTTCAAAATGGCTCAATTTAACTTGTTTATTATTAAGGAACAGATTTTAAAATGCTGCACCTTCTGAAATTGATTTATTGTAGAACTTGGTGTAATTCATGTTAGTACCCTTGAACCACAATATAAGAACGTTTTATTGATTAGTTAGCTATTGATTTCTGACGCCAGAGCTATAAAAGTCTATAGCTCGCCCAGCCTTCTGGATTTTTGCATAGGTATTTTTAAGAGCCCAAGCAATTTAGTGGCCTTAACTTTTTAAATAATTTTAGGAAAGAAAAAAAAACGTTTAAAGTAGAGATGGACAAAACTTAATGGTTATGAACAACTGTTATAGGTTCAACATACATTGCACATTTGCTGAAAAGCATCATTTCATCTAACAAAAAGCGTTTGAAGAATAACCTTGGTCACAAGATATAGATTTAATATTTTTTCTTCTTTTTTTTTAATTTTTTATTTTTTTATTCTAGACATCAATTTTGGAATATTTTAGATTTTGAAAGTTAAATTAATACTATTTCTCACTAGATATGACTACACATTAATCAGCAGCCTCCTTATTTCCAACAACTTTTACTGCTAAGAAACATTCCTATTACTAATAAAACTTAACAGTTATCAACGACTGTTATATATTCCACAGTTATAAAAAATAGCACATTTACTGGAAAGCGTAATTTCATATCACCAAAGAGAGTTTGAAGAATAAGTTGACCACAAGATCTAGATCGAATACGTTTTTTTTTTTTTTTTTTTTTTTTTTTTTTTTTTTTTTTTTTTTTTTTTTTTTTTTTTTTNTTTTTTTTTTTTTTTTTTTTTTTTCATTATTGTTGAAATCCCCTATCCTTCTAGGACATTAATACATTTTAGTATTTGCTTTGCATTATAAAATAGCGAAAATTGTTTTATTTCTCTCTGCTGAAACTTAAAAAGTAAGAAGAAAAAAGATTTTCTTATGGATTGCATGGCATTTGATTTGATTTTAATACACAAAACTTTATTGCATTCTTATTACTAAATATGACAACACATGAATTGACGAGCATCCTTATTAAATTTTTTTTTTTTTTGATATGGCATATTGTGTAATATTCTTTAAGACACCAAAGCTTTATTATTTATTTAAACAAATAATAGCTACGTGGAGTTAAATTCAATATATTTTTATTCTTTTCAGGTATACCCCTTCAGTTTCCTAGTGCCTTTGCAGCTGTGCATGGACCAATACCAGTAGACCACCAAACTCATGAAGGACGCTACTTTTGGGATTCACGTTTACACCACCCCCTTCATCATGGTGCTGCTAGGTAATGTTACTCCATATCTACAAAATACGAACTCTTTTTGGAACTGTGTTTTATAACTTAATAACGTACAAACTGATTAAAATTCTTACCCATCTGGCAGGATTTTTTGAGCTTTCTGCCACTAAATTCTCTAGCACTAATTAATATCTGTCTGCAAGATACTTTTAATAATAACAAACATATATGTTACTAATTTAAAATAACAAAATACACTATTTACAAAAAAAATTTATAATTTTTTTTTTAATTCAACATAAATTTGATTCTAATATTATGGGTTATATTCTGAGAGCCTGACTAAGGCAGGGGCATACGGGGCAGTTGCCCCAGGCCCCCCAAATCAAATGGAAAGTTCATTTTATGTATCCTTCTTTAATGAACTTTAACAAAATATCAGTATACTGTAAAATCCGTCATGTTTATGTTAGCTTCTTCATCAATTTATCGTATGAACACAATCTATATTTCGTAAATCCATGGCTTTCTAGGGCTGAATTGAGCTAAATTTTCGCCATTAAGATGGACAAATTCGGCCAATTAAAATCCCGTATTTTTACACATCGCAAATTGCGATATGTTAACAAAAATACAGGCTTCTGATTGACTTAATTGATCCGTAGTAATCGCGAAAATTTAGCTGAATTCCGCCCTAATGTCAGCAAGGATATAAACTTTTCGCAGTTAGATGATAAAGTTAAGAATCAGAAAACTATATTCGGCATGAAGGGCATAGAATTGTCAGAAAATCAATAAAATGGACAGAACGATATTTCGTCTGACCTAAGAAGTTTCTGCCCCGTGCCCCAACTAGGCTAAGTCGGGCCTGTATATTCTCGCATTTTGTTGGAGAAGGAAGACGCACGAATTATTTACTTCTTCGCATTTTGTAAATAGTCCTCACAATAAAAAATAATTAAAAATCATGAAATCCGCAGTTGTAATTCCCGAATAAAAGATCGACCACGAAATCATGCGTATCGGACTCCCCAAACGCGTGTTTCGTTTCGAGATTAGGTTGTTGTAATAAATAATATCGTACAAAAAATATCGCATTTAAAAACTATGCAGAAATCAATTGTAATAACTGTCAAAAATTCTATCGAATTATTGTCTTAAAAAATTAATACCTCAAATGCACGGTTCGAATTTTCGATATGGTTCGAAGCGACTCGGGATATTTAAAAAACCACGTGAAAATCAATATCAATAACTGCCGAAAGTGCAATCGAAACGTCATATCGATTTACGATACTACTGGCATAAATTGTGCGCATAAAAATAGATTATCTAAATGCATGATTCAAATATTACGTGTAAATTTCCGTAGAAAAGTTAAAAAATTTTACTTTCCAAGGGAAAAGTCTCTGCAAGAGCTCAATAAAGTTCTGCGACAATGTCACCATGTCGCTGCGATTCAGCCATGGGGGCCAACTCCAAACATAAAATTAGTTCCACATAGAAAAAATTCAAATTTTGATTTTAAATATTTTATAGTATAGTGTGTTATATTTTAAATTTTTACATTTTATACTCTTTGCCTTATATTTTTAGATCTTTGCATGAATATCAATTAATAGCCAACATTGAAAAGTGACCACATTTTGCTTTCTTAATTTATATTTAAGCTTAATTTTTAAAAAATGAACATAAATGCAATCAAAATTGTTGAATCACTAGTAAGGTAGACAAAATTAACATAAAGTCAGTTTGAATGCAGGATTAAACAAAGAACAGTTAAAAGATGGTTACTTGAAATGCCTCCTAGTTTCATCGACTATCTAACAGTTCTAACACGTTTTGATAGTCGATGACTCTATAGTTATTCTGCAATCCTAATATTTATGTTTTTTTTTTTTTTTTCAATTTTTATTATTTGTCATATTATATTATTTTTATGCACTTCAGGTTATGATTAGGTGATCTTTTTGTTATAAGTGATATTTTTATATTCCAGTAATCCTGCAGCCCCGAACTTGTCTGATCTCTCAATGTTGGGAGTATCAGCTCAACGTAGAGCCGCCGTAGCTGGTGGACCTATGGATAGTCCTTTACACTTCCCATATCGGTTCAGTCCTACTTATCTGGAACATATGTATGGAATGGCAGCAGCTGGATTACCTGTTGTCCCACCTGTATCCAGCATGGACGGAAGAGGTATATTATGATTACTTTTACACTCGTCTTTAAAAAAAAAAAATTTTTTTTTAAGGTATTTCTAGGTCTATGATACCCGAATTACCTAAAAAAATGGGGGTGAAATGTGGAACAGAGCAGATAACTTTTCATCTTGTTTAGGGAATAGGAAAAAAAAAACAATTCTACTGCAATATTTTTACAAATTAAGGCAAAATAAATAAATGGATTGTATCTAAACAATTGAACTAATGCAAAGATATGTTGAGTAAGTGAAATAGAACATAAGTTTTTTTTTGTTGAAAAATCTATAACTCAATTAAAAAATTTAACAACCTATATTAAATTTTTATCATTATTTGTTAACATTAAATATTGAAATTAGGCTGAGACATATTTAGATAGTTTTTTTTGTTTCAGTTGCAATTATTACTGTTGTAGTTCTCAAGACATACTTTTAAATTAAATCTGAAATTTTTTTTTTTTTTTTATTTTTTTTTTTTTAAATTTTGATAGTGTTTCAATTGGTTTCATAAAACATCACACATATTTTTACTTGAACACATGGGCGCCCGTAGGAGAGGGCCGAAGGGCCCCCCCTAGAAAATATATGCTTAATGAAACATATGCGTATTTAATTAATCATGTATAATTAAAAGTTTAATTAATTTAAATTAATTAGTGTTTCAGCTAATTAAGTTAAAAATATTTAAATAGATAAAATTTCCTTTCATTAACTTTTTAATTCATTAAGCTATTTGTCGTTTTCTTTCATGAGCCCCCCCCCCCCNCCCCCCCCCCCCCTAAATTCAAACACATGGGCTTGAACATGAAATCTTCTGTTATTAATATGCAGAACGTGGAATTTCCGAAGTAGGCCTCTAATTTTCTGTAAAGATTTTTTTTTGTTAATAAACAGCCATAAATAATTTCACGGGACATAAATACAATTTTCTGAATGTTATTATAAAATTCCCTAAGCTATTTCAAGATGGGCAAAAAAACATGTTATGGTAAAATATTTGTATGACTATGCTACTTTATCCATTGTTGCATACATGAAATTTATTTCTGTATTTATGTATATATCTATATCATATCTCTTATTATTAGTATATCTGTATTAGTATATCTATATTTATATCATGCATACCATTTTTGTTACAAGCATAAAAATAACTCAAACTGAATCGGATATCCAGTATGTAAACAAAGCAATTTTACCGTTATAACTATTGTAATTAAATAAAATATTCATTTTCAGTGAACATTAGAATGCCTTAAAATATTTTTCAAATGAAACTTGAACTATTCACATCCAGGTTTGATTGCTTATTAAAGAACAAAACTTTAATCAAAATTTTAATGTTTTTATAAATTTATAATTATTTTGAGATATATTTAAAGTAGTGTACAAATCAACTTTTCGAAACTTAAAAATTTTACGAAAATCATGGGGTTATGGTTAGACAATCGTTAATTGTATTTAAAGTTTTTTTTTTGGTAACACTACTTTTACATTTAAAAAAAAATTAACTATTATAGTACTATTTAAAATGTACTATAAAGTTATACATTTAGATTCCAAAACATCATACGTGTTGAATTCGATACAATTAGATTAGTAATGTCATTCTACTTAGCAATGGATTATATTTCATCCTCATCTGCTGAATCCCCTGAAAAATAGTCTTTACCTGCATCAAAAAGTTTTAAATTCCACACTTTAAAAAAGATTTTACGATAAAATAGAAATTTTCATTTTTCTTTCATTGTTAGACTTATACACCCAGCATACCAAAAATTTTCTTTCTTATAATAAAAAAATTGTCGATCAGCTAATGCACCAGAACAATTTATACCTTTCTTGAGAAAATTTTTTAATTTTTCTAAAACCTTGTTTAAAATTTTCCCTCAGTAAGATAATGATTTTTTGTATGGATAAAAATCATGAACTAGGTAAACTTACTTAACGCAAATCCGTGATTTTCTATTTTTTAATAATTTTTCATTTATAAGCCAAAACCTTTCTCCTGACTCGACTAATGTATTTTAAATGTACATATTACATAGATGTTTTTTTATTTAAATTCTTTTAAATCAATCTAAATTTACACTCATGCTTTTGCTTTGGGTTTACTGAATATTAGGTTTTTCTTATTCTCCTGAATATTTGCAACAAATGGCTGCCCTGGGGCAAAGGTATATGATGGGTGATCATTATTCTAATCATGTGCAATCTGGATGTGAATCAGTTCTTGGACGTGAGGGTTAGTTCAAATTGTTTTTCTTAACAACTAACACTCCACTTCTGCATGTAGTGGGAGCAAACACTATTGCACAGTTTGCATAATTGCATGCATGCACTTTTAATTTCAGATCATTAATGAATAGCTTAGTGGAATAGATTTAGTTTTAGGCTGCACAAAAAACTTGAGCAAAGTGTTTTAGAGCACAATTTTTCTTTGAAAATTGGTGCAAATGTTTGAAGAATAAAGAGATACATTAAAAGCCCTGATTATAAATTAATATCAGGCAAGAGATTATTTCTACTTTTTTGCTGAATTTCTGACTTCCTAAACTTGAGAAAAAATTACATTTCTGAACTTTATTATTTTATTCTCTAAAATCTGATTTATGCGCAAACTTAGCAGTTTATTGGACTGTCAATGTACATATTCAGTAACAAAAAATTTTTTTAAATCAATATGTAAATTTTTTAAATGTTTTTTTATGTGTAAAATAGTTTAACATGCTTTTCCTTCCCTTTTTCACTTTTCCAAAAAAAAATTTTTTTTAATCAATATGTAAATTTTTTAAATGTTTTCCTATGTGCAAAATAGTTTAACTTGCTTTATTTTCCTTTTTCATGATTTAATTTGATCGATATTTTTAGACTTTTTTTTAACATCTCTCATATCAAATATTCAGTGCTTACAACTAAACCTAATCCTGTTAAATAATTACTATAAGTTACAAATACAAAACAAGACTATTAAATACTACTGAAAATCAAATATTGATACAAGTAGTCCTTTAAGAAGCTTTATTTTTCTATTGATTTTGAAAATTATTTTAATAATTGATTTAATTATGTTTCTAGCTTCCCACTTAGCAAGTCCACGTGCTGAGACACGCCATGGGCGAAAGAGAGCATTATCGATTTCTCCATATAACTTATCTGATACCTTGGCTTTGGATTCTATGATAAGATTTTCTCCTAATTCACTAGCATCATACACCCATGGATCTCGAAGCTCTAGTGCCAGTGGCTCCTATGGTCATCTATCAGCAGGTAAATATTTAAATTCATATTGTTTGTTACATAAACATTTAATTGGTTTAGGATACAAGAACTAATTTATGACTCATTAGTGTATATTAGCAGATATTTGGATATTTATATGATTTTGTATACCATATATTATTTCATGTATTATGTATTTTGTATTATTTATTGCTCGGGCAACTTCACTGTAATTGATGCGTTATTATTTTTTTATGGATTAAAGCATAAAATGAAAGCTAAAATAGTCTACCAAATGAAACGTTTTATATTTTTAAGTATTGCTAACTTTCTGCATACTCGGCAAGTTAAAGGCTAAGCATCTTGGTTCACTGTGAATTGTATCAGCTGTGAATTGTATTCAACTGAGATCATTATTCATCTTAAACTAGAATGTGTACCATTTTGTTATTGAAATTACCTATAAATTAATGCAAATGGAAGTTTCTTTTTTAATATTTTGCATTTACAGGAATTCTGAAATTTTCTATCAGATTGGTTTATTTAAATAAATTAATTAATATTGTCTGATAACTTTTAGGTACACTTAGTCCTACATTTGGTTTACCTCAGCAGTATCCTTTACATCCTGCATTTCTTCGACAACAATCATTTGGTGTGCCTTCTCCATTTGGTGCACCTCGAATGTTTGGTAATCCATTCGGCTCATCCCTTCTTTCACCAAATATGGTAAGATATTAACATATAAATTATTTTTATGAAATTTCTACTTGACTAATTTATATCACCATTTCCCCGTACAATAGTTTTACGATAAGTGAATGTAAAATCCATGGAATTGTAATATTCTTTATTTTGTTTATATATAGCCTGATTCTGGAGGTCGGGAAACTGCTTGCAATATTGTGAGTAGCACAGTTGAAGGTGAAGATAGCCATGGTATCAAAATTAAGAAAGAGATGCGTCGTGACACGACGGATGACAAAGAAGGGGGAGGTGACCCAAAAGATGAACCAGAGGACTTTATTGAAACTAACTGCCATTGGAAAAGTTGTGGAAAAGAATTTATGACCCAAGAGGAATTAGTTCAAGTAAGTTATTGCTATATGAAGAGTTTTATTTTAATCTTCAACTTAAGAAAATGGCTGTGATATATGTTTATTTATTTTGATATTGATGTTTTAATGCCTTTTTCACCTTCAAAATTTTAAGCCATATAATTTTGAAAAGGGCTTATTTTTTTGGCCATAATTCACAATGTTCTACAATTTCATTACAAAAGGTGTGATTGTTAAAATGAGTTTAGCATTGCTCACAAGCCGCCTTTACTACCTAGAAAAGCTTATACCCATTATCATCAATCTAAAACTGGGTTGGCTTCCAGCTACCACATAGCCAATTGTTCACATTAACAGCTGTGTACTCATTAACAGTTTATTTAATTTCCAAACAATTTCTAAATTTAATTTATAATAAATAGGGAGAAAATAAGTTAAAAAAGAAAAGAAACAATGAAAAAATGAAAATTATGAAAGAAAACGACAACCGCAGCTGACGTCTTCAGGGGGTACCAGTTCCGGAAGCATAAAGTTATAAATGCAGCCACTGGAAGTTTTGTTTTTAATTGTTTTAATTATTTTGTGTGTGTGAATTCTTTTCTTAATAAGTTAGAAGAAATGCGAGAAACAAAATGGTGTCACTGTATAAGAATGCATAACATAATTCCATGTTTGAATTTTTTTTAAAGGATTTTTTCTTTTATTATTAATTTTATAAGGATAAATTAACTTTAAAAGTATTTTAAAGATAAATTAAGTTAAAGTTATTTAGATTATTAGATTTATTATTTAGTTATTTAGATTTTGATAAGTTAAATATTTTGTTACAAATTTTAAACAGATTTTAAATATTTTAGCATATAAACAAGGACCATATTCAAGGTAGTAGAAAAACATCATTTGTTTGTCGATGGAAGGATTGTTCAAGGGAGGAAAAACCTTTCAAAGCGCAATATATGCTTGTGGTTCACATGAGACGCCACACTGGTGAAAAACCCAATAAGTGTACAGTAAGTATATATATACTTTAAATTTTCTAAACTACTAGCAACTGAGTTCCAAAAAGGATATGATATATTTTTGGGCTATGTAGACAAAAGTAAAAAAATAATGCCAATGAAGTACAAAAAAAAAACAAGGTAGAAGTTCTTTAGTTTGGGCGATATCTTTTTTCTTTAACAAAAAAAAAGTTTAAACTGACTTCTGAGTTGCTCTTAACGTAACTACTGTAGAACTCTGACCGACATTCGTGGGCTGAAGAGTACACAGAAAATCAAAGGCCTACAATAATGGGGAAACCTTTATATGTTTTAATGTACAAACACTGAACTCTGGGTAAAATTACTCATAATAAATAGGCTATAATAAAGTTTTTTCTTTTTTGAAATTTTATTTTTCTGTCTAAAATGCCAATATTATAGCATGTCACACAATAATTTGACAAACCAGCTGAATGATGAAACTTTATAAGAACACTTTTAAAGTGCATCAAAAAGGTTTCCGTTAACCACAGTGTTGGATAGTTTGGATTCCACTGTAATTTTCAAAACCAAAATGTCTCTTAATTTAATCAGCTGATATTAAATTCATTATCTTGGCACCTCCTAACTAACAAGTTAACTTAATGCATGTAAGAAAGAAATGTTGAAAATTAATCTTAAAATTGAATTACTTAAATGTTATATAGTTTAATAAGCAGTCATGTTTTAACTTCTCTATTAATAATATGCATGCATATGAAATATTTAAATACACAACAGGGTTCTGTTGGAAATACATTTTTGGCATTTATGTCTGTTAAAAAATGTTATGATATAATAGGTAAATTTAATTTTAGTTTGAAGGTTGCTCAAAAGCATATTCACGATTGGAGAATTTGAAGACTCATCTACGGTCACATACAGGAGAAAAACCATACACCTGTGAATTTCCTGGTTGTTCTAAAGCTTTTAGCAATGCATCCGATCGAGCTAAACATCAAAACAGGACCCACTCAAATACGGTAAGTTAAACTACTCTTTCTGTGTGATATTATCTAAATTTAAACCTTTGATGCATTGAATAATGTACTTTCAACACACCACTTGTGACTACAATAAAATATTTCTATTCCTTAATTTTAGTTTGCAATATTAAGGATTTAAGTAAGTATTTATGTTCTAAAAAAGATACTTATTTTTCTGGAAATTATTAATTTTGAGTTGAAACTTTTCAGAAACCATATGCTTGTAAAGCTCCCGGCTGTACCAAAAGGTATACAGATCCAAGTTCATTAAGAAAGCATGTAAAGACAGTGCATGGGCCAGACTTCTTTGCCAACAAGAAGCATAAGGGTGGAGATGGAAAAGATGATAGCAAGCCTACCGATGATCAGCCCCATGATCAAAGTAGTAGCATGGGAGGAAGTCCAAATTCAGATGGTAGTAGTACTACAAATCCAGGCAGTATGTCTAGTCCTAGTATTAAATCAGAAGTAAGTTTGTTTCATTTATGACTAATTTTTGTTTTAATCAAAGTCTTATTAAGCTATCTGAAACACTGCATACAGAAGCTCCTATTGTACATGTAAATATTTAACGATATTAACCAATTAATCATCGTTATAACTTTGGCAAAAATTGCCAAAATGCTGTATGGGGGTAGATAAACAATATTAAAGGTTAAAGAAAAAGAAAGAGAGAAAATCATTTATAAGTGATAGGACTTAGAATATTACTGAATTTGATTTTGTAAACAATTTCTTAATTAAGGTTAGCACATTTTTTAATCTTCTTGGTCATGTTTATTTTTATACCCTTATCATTGTAGTATGCAAAAGCAAACACTAAAGCATCTTACTTTCCATTTTCAAAACTATGACAAAACAGGTTTGCATAGTTTTGACTGCACGTTCATACCATATTTTTAAAAGATCGCAGTTCATATTAATTGCAATTTTTTTGTTGCTGTTTTACTTTTAACTTTCTTGAAACTTAAGGGGCTTATGAATCTGGTGTAGTTTTGCATTCTTGCATTCATTTAAATTTTCCAATAATTTTTCATTTTATATCAACAAAGTTACCATAAAGTTTAGAAAGAAATACTATTAGTTAAAGAAAGAAATACTATTTCAATTGATGTCTTGCAGCACCTTTTCACTTGTTTGTTGCCTTCACTTGTAATGTGATATTCATCTGTACAAAATATTGTTATTTTTAATTATTTTTATTTTTTTGGTGACTAATGCCACACCTTAGATGTAGGGAAACTCTTCTACAATTTAAAGCTAAAAATAAAATTTGTTTTCAATGTTAAAGTCAAAGTATAATTTATAATTTTACAAAAATTTAATTTGTTAAAAGTAAAATTACGTTTACAAGTAACTTAATTCTTATATGTGAATAATTCAAAAAGTACTAGAATCTTAATCTGCACAAGTAATGTTCAATTGTACACAGATATGTATGTAAGATTCAAATATGTACTCAACTTCAAAAAACTAGTTCATTAACTGAGGTGATATAGGTGAAACTAAGAATTTCGTGCCGTACATATCTTTTTGTTTTAATGGTATTTTTTTTTTTATTTAATATAGGATTCCCCTCACACCATCCATGAGGAATCTGTTGATGAATGTGGTCCTCCAATTAGTGACAATCATATCTCCACAACAAGCAGGCTTCCTGACATTGATGCAGTATGGGTTCCAGTTGCTGAAGTTCTGGAAGAAGTAATTGACTTGATTATTGAATTTCAAATAAGATTGCATTGCACTTATCCATGATATTAATTTGTGTTTCAGGTTTTCTGTGCACTTGTTAATCAAATGATTTTTATTTTTAAATACAATGTAGAACCTCTTAACCGGAAATCTGAAAACCAGATAACCGGAATGAAATTCGGAACCGGAAATAAATTTTCGTCCATTGAAAAATAAATTTTTCCCTGCAAGATTTTGAGCCCATTTTGTTATTTAGAGCGTACCGGCATATCGAGTTGACGAAATAACTGATTTAGAGGACGGATCAAAAGCCGTTTGTAGACGAATCTCACATAAGCACAAATAGCTTATATATGTTATTAATGTTAATAATAACATTAATAACTTATATAAGCCTGTATATAATTTTTATTTCATAATTTCTTTCCTTATTTAAACTTAAGTGTATTATTATTTATAATTTTTTATTATTTCTAAAAGTATTTAAAAAAAAAATTTTAGTTTCGTTTTATAAACATTAAAAAAAAAAAACTTTTGTAGCGATTCAGAAAACCGGAAAAATCAGTTATCCGGAATCGCTGGATAATCGGTTCTATACTGTATATCCAAAACTTGTGCTAAATAAAACTGGCTTTAACTTCAAATAGCAAAAATCTACCTTGCTGTTTACTCCTTATCTTAAGTCTAAGAAAGCTCAGAAGTTCTGCCATGAATATTCCAGTTTTAAATAAAATTAACCACTTCATAATGTTGTGTAAATAAAACTTGTCTTCCATGTTTTACTCAAATGGAAAATTACTTTTAGGAATTGGAAGATGAAGTGTCACTAGCTTCTTGTTCTGTTGGTGGGGACATTAAAACAGAAGGAGGAAGGAGGCCAAAGAGTTTTAAAACTAAGTTTAGAGCATCTTTCAAATCTGCCAGAGATTGGTTCCCAAATCTTTTAACTTCTAGATCAGGTATTAATACTACTGTGCTATATAATTGTTTATAATTTGTGGGATCCATAGCCCAAATTTGATTCATTCTGAACTTCCAATATTCCTGATTTTGGATATGAAAATGGTATAATTTAATAGTAGACCAAAGTGCTGTTATTTATCACTATATGATTATTTTCTATTATAATGTATGTTTAATCATCTATGTCGAAGTATGTTTATTTATATAGCTACGTTATTTTTGTTTTGCATTTGAAGTCCTATTCTGTATATTCAAAACTCATTCCTTTGTATTAAGAAACATAATATTTGTAGTTCAATTTACTCATTTCTAAAAGTGGATTTTTTTTTCAAATAAAAAAAATTTTTAACAGAGAAATTATGTGCTAAATTGCAAATTAAATAAGATTTAAAACTAAATACAGTTTGCTTTAAAAAAAATGGCAAAAATAATTAACTTAAAATTATAATAATAAGTGGAATAGCAGTAAAAACCTTCTCCAAGGAGTATTGCACATTAAAATAATCTCCCTGTTACACAAGATGATGTGATCCAAGTATCAGGGTGCTCAGCGTTATTAAAAAATGCTTAAAGGTGCTTATTTTCGTTTTTTAAAAGCCCTTAAAGGTGCTTTTTTCATTGAGTGTTTTTAAAAAGTGCTTAATTTTCCCTTTATTCAAAATGAGATTTTTCTTTTACTAAGTTGATTTTCACTTCGAATTCTGCAAAAAGACCTAGTTCACATTGTTCTATTTAACGTTTTCACAATTAATTCAACCCCAATCTATTTCGACGTATTTTTGACAATTGTCAAAAGCAATGACAAAAAAAAAAATTTTGACATGACGATTAAAACAAAATAAAACCGTCAATTGCCAGAAACTTTGCAACTCTGCCTAGTTATGATATTTTTTAAAGTGCTTAAAAATATTTCTTGAGTGCTTGAAAAGTGCTTAAGAGGTGCTTATTTTTTGTTGAATAATTTGGCTACACATCCTGATGTAAACACGTAATGTTCCTTATTAAACATGTAAAAACTTTCTACATAATTACAAAATATTCAAACTATTGTTATAATAAAAAAAAGGAGCCGTTTATTAAACTCAAAATATTTGGTTTCTTGTTCTAGAAGTTGTACAGAGAAAAGAGCTTAAGATACTTTTTTCCAATTGTTAAAATTTTGATATTTTACATTGCCTTATTTTTGCTGAAACCTCCCCCTACTTTCTCCACTTTCTTTTTTGACCTTTCCTACTCAAGACCATAGTCAATGAAATTACAATATTCTCAATGATGTCAATTCATTTCCTCTATTAATTGAAAATAATTAGCTTTGTATCAAGTTTAATAAAGAAGTAATTATAAATCTTGCTTGCAATGTTAACTAATTAAAGGCCATTAAGTTTTAATGTTAGAGAAGAGTATTCTGAGAAAAATTGGAAGTTGATTTACATTCTACTTTAAAGGAACGGCTAAATGTCTTGTTAAATTTGCTAGATTTAAATGGTTTATTGCTTAAACTTTTTTCTATCGCTGAACTGCAAATTATATACAGACTTGTGTGCAATAAACATTTGGCAAATACTACAATGACATATTTTGTTCTATTTGTAAAAAAATCAGATTTTTTTCCCTTTTTTTTTGTAAACCCAAATGTAAAACTAGTTAATTTAGGTACAGAATTTCTGAGAAATTCTAAAACATTAATGCTGAGCAACAACCAATGAATTTGATGTTCTAATTTAATCTATATTTTTGCTATCATTTTGTATGCTTACCAATATCTTAAAAATTGGTAAAAAAAAAAAGAAAAAGTAGGGTCAGTACATACATAAAAACTAAATAATGTTAATAGATTCCTCTGTATTATAACGTAATATTTCTGTATTGCTATCACAAATAATGTCATCAACATTAATTTTTAAAATATCATTATATTAAAAAATATTATATTTATGTAGGCAGGGGCAGTTGTAAAAATTTGGAAAGCATGTCGCTTACCCAAACGAGCCAAACTACTGAGGTTAAAGTTGCTGAAAATGTTATTCAAACTTCTGGTAAGGATTTTTACAAATTGTACTATGTTTTTATTTATTTATTTATTGCATTTCAAAATCCTTAAAGGCATTAATTTTTAAAAAACGTTAAGCATATCATATTTTAGCATTAAATGTTTTTTTTTTCAATATTTTATTGTTAATAACATGATATTTATATCCTGCATGTGTAGTAAAGAAATTAGATATTAATTCCTGGACATGATCCTGGAAGTTTTGTTAAAAATGATTCAAATATAGTTGATAAGTTTTCTTATTTATAGGATGTCTCTTAATTTCAAAAAAAAAAAAAAAAAAAAATAAANAAAAAAAAAAAAAAAAAAAAAAATGCGTTGCCAAGTCATTGTTTGATTTGATTTAAACATGTACAAATAATACATATTTTTAGCAAGAATTTTATTTCCTGCAAGTTTTATACACTCTAATAAAAATTTTAATGAGATCTCAAAATTAATCAATTTAATCTTTTTATTTCCTTGTGATATTTAATTTTTTTTTTAATGTGAGCTGATAAAATTTTATTCTTGAATTATTAGGAAGAGAATTCTTAACTGTCAAAAATTATCTAGGTTCTAAAAATTATTCAAATGAATTGTGTTGTGAAATACAATCAAAACCAGGAGTTTTATGGTGATATATTGGGTACCTTTTAAATAAACTATTTATGTACATCATAGCGTCATTCAGCCGCAGAGAAAAGCATATTTGTATAACAGTGCAAGAAAAATGTAGAACAATAATTTTTCGATTTTAAAATTTAAATTAAGTTCCAATCTTTATTTCTATCTAACTTTCAACATTAACATAATTGCTCTCCAATTTTTAATTTAGTAACTTTACTTTTTCCCCTAGGTCCAGTTGCTACATGTACTACTGATTTGCCAAAGCCGAATAACTCTCATAGTGGCAGTAGTAGCACTGTTAGCTCTTTCTTCAGTAGTTTGCATTCTGAAGCTGGCTCTCAAGGTGCTGCCTCACAAGTCAATAGCAACAAATCTGGCCAATCATGTATAGGTCCGGTTAATAGTTCCTCTACTTACGATCCTATTTCTGCTGGTAGTTCTAGACGTTCCAGTCAATCTGTTGAACCACTTCCCTATGAACTAACTTCACAGTTGCACAGCAAACGTACAAAGGCAACAGTAGCTCAGGTTCTATCGAACACTAGCAATTTGGTTGTTCTCAGTCAAAATGAATGCCTGGTGTCTGATAATGAGGCATTTCAACATGGGTATTCTCCTTTGTTTGGTTTTCCTCCTCCACAATATCCTATGAGCCCACCATCGATGAATAGTGTAGCTTCACCACAATATCCGATGAGTCCACCTTCAATGAACAGTGTTGCTTCACCACAATATCCAATGAGACCGCCATCAATGAACAGTGTAGCTTCTCCAAAATCAAACAGTGTCAGAAATCATCCTAACCAAAATATGCATTCATGTGTATTGGAGGAAAATAAAGATATGGTCCTTCCAGATGATGTTGTCAATTATATCAATGATGTGGTAGACCAAATACGTCCTCCTTCTGCGAGCAGTGAAGCATATTCAAGTGTCAGTCAAAACTGGACATGTTGTAAAAATGACAATTCTTCAGTTCAAGCTCAACAATGTTCCCAAAATGTGAACAATAGTGCACAGAATTCCCAATCTTGTTATTCTGGTAATGTTGTGCAACAATACCAAAACCCAGTTCAAACTTTCCAGAATGATATTAATAAACATTTGCAGCAACAGCACGTAAATTGTAACGCTTCTAATCCTAATTTCAATAAAATAGCTAATCAAAATTCTAATTTCTGCCAACCTAACATTCCTTCTCAGAACAACAGTCACAATGTTGTACAAACTAATTCACAGCCTCAACAAAATTGTATGCAGCAATCGCCTCACACACTTAATACTACTTATAATGGTTCTCAAACTGAGTGTAATAACTCCCACTATTCTCAGAATAACTATACTAATTGTCAAAATCATGGAAGCTCTTACAATTATAATCGACAAACAATTTATCCAAGTGACATGTCACAGTCATATCCTAGTCAACATAAAATGCCATCATCTGGATATGGTAGCACTGTTCATCCTAATACTACTAATTGTTCATCACAAAACTATCAACCTTATGCTAATGGAGCCAGAAATAATACACACATGCATAGCATTCAGCAAAATATACCATGCAATAATACTCAAGAAACTAAAAATCCAGCTTACAGGTTAAACTCTAACTCTAATTTATGTGTTATACAGAATGGACAAATGAATCAGCCGATGCACTCCAATCAAAACGATAGTGAATATGATGCCAACAATTGGTGCAATAATCAAATACAAGGCTATAATAATGCTGGAACAGGGTATATTAATCAGTGTCAGACAGGTGTTAATCCTCAAAACCAACAAAATATGATGTCACCCACTAATCAGTACCCTAATAATCCTGTCCAAAATTTTGATTCAAGTGCTGGATATGGAAATTGTAATGTACAAGCACAAAATAGTTCTGAATTTTATTCTCCCTTTAACTCATACAATCAGAATTTATGCTCAGGTTCTGAAGTTTCTTATCCTACTCAACCTCAAATGTCAATGCATCATAATCATTCCATGCAGCAGCAATCGTCATCACAAACTGCATCAATATCTAGGCAATCGCAAACCATGGGACAGCCTATGTGCCACCAAGTGAACAATCAGAGTCAACCCTCTGTCCAATCAACCATCCCGCAACAACAGAGCCATCAATTATATGCTCAGTATCAGCCTATGAACTCTCCAGCAGTTATGCCTTATCAGAAGACTTTAAATTCTCAGATGAATCAACATACATCTTTGAAATTAGAAACCCCCCAGCATCTGAGCTCTGTGAATTCTCAAGGTCATCACTATCAACCACCTGTTAATAACCAGCCTGTCCATCAACCTAACATGGGTTCTCAAACACTTAATGCTATGGCTCAAATGCAATCACAAACATCTGTCAATTCTCATATTCAAACTTCCATAAACTCTCATACTCATTCCCACCATAATTCTATAAATCCTCAAGCTCAGTTATATCAACAGCCAATAAATCCTCAAACTCATACTCAACCACCCAGTTATCATCAAACTGTTAACCCACAAACAGCAATGTCTCAGCAAATGATGCAGAAGTGTCCCCAAATTCCATTTCAACAGCCAATGCCCCCTCAGTATCCAGGTTCATTACAGCAGCATAACTTACCACCCCAGTATCCAACACAACAGGTTCCTATGACGCCTAACTTCTCATCAGCTGCCTCAAACTCATTTCATGATCAGAAAATAAATTGCAACAGCACTGATCAAAATTCATTGCCCACATTATTACATCTTGACAAAAACCATCTCTGCAACCGCAAAAAAGGCTCATATTCATTACAAGCTCAACATAGTGCTTCCAGTGTTAGTGAACAAGATGAGAAAGAATCTGCTTACGCAGTGACACAAACAATGGACCAAAAAGAGATACAGTGCCAAAATGTCAGCCAGTCATCTCTTTCTGTTGAAGCTTACCAAAGAACTTTAAAGTATGTTCAACAATGCCAAGAAATGATGAGCCAACAGCAAGCTTCACCTGGCTGTAATCGTGTCAGCAGTAGCACTGATAGACAAAGTCCTGCTGCTAGTTCTCCACTCTCACAAACTTCTAACATGGTTATTAATGATCTCAATAGCGGTTTGCAATCTCTAATTCAAGAAGATAGATGTTTTCAGGTACAAACTATGTGCGCTAATCTTTAAATATTAGCATAAAATTTGTGTCAATAATATAAATTAATTTCTAATTATTTAGACATGTATGTAATAGCTCAAGACCAATGTTTATATGATTCTGTGATACTTAAAAATAAATCCTGTTTACAAACATTTACCAAAAGCTCTGATGATTCACAATTAATATTTATATTGAATTTTGAAAAAATAAAAGATAATCTGAACTTGAATAATATTCACATTTGTATTTATATGTAAGTAAGGGTATGATTTATTTGTATAGTAATATTTGAAATTATGTGAATTTTTTTTCAGTGTACATTATTTTAACGTAAATTTGAAGATATTTTTAAAAATAGGTATTGATCTTTTTCTCTTAATTCATCTTTATAATTTTATTCCTGTAAAATATTTTTTTCAAATCTGATATACGATTGTTTTTGACATTCAGTTCTGATTTGATCTAATAAGATGATGCCATTTTATACAATCATTAATGTATGTGGGTTTAAGTTAATGAATGGCCTATTTTTAATCTTGTGTTATTTAGGCCAAAAATTGAAGTGCTGTTTTTTTTTTAATTGTTGATGGCTTATTTCTGAAAAGCATGTGATACTGTTTGCGAAATTTATACATTTTATATTAACTTTTAAATTTTTGTCTAATAATAAGTATTTTGTTATTTAATACTATGGGTTTGTGTATATTTTTACTGATATATTCTTTTAGAATATGAATATTTATGTAAAATGTATTTCTATGAATGATGTATATTTCTTCCAAAGTGCCTTTTCTTCCATGAAGAGAAAATGTAAATGAGGACTCAGATCACTTTTTAATTTTTGCACATCTTGTTGTTCCTATTTGAAGAGTAATTGCCAAACTGTGCCGAATTCTTGGTTAAAGCCCTATTACAACCTTTGGCTACTTTTTACCAGACACTTGTAAAATACAGATCTGTAATGTGCAATTTGATAAATATTTCCTGTTTCTGTTGTCAATTTTGTTTCCTGTATTGTTGTCAATTTTGTAAATACCTTGTTCATGTATGCATGACAAATAAAAGTGGTTTTTTATGTTAAGTTTTTTTTTGAGTAACACCAGTATCATATTTAACTTTTTCTAACTTATAATAAATAAATCGGCACTTTATTTTTGCTATTATTCACATTTTTAATGTTAATAATTAGCGACTGATAAGGTAAATTCTTTAACAAAACAGTATGTTATAAATTATTAAAGAATTTGCTAATTCAGACATTTGTTTTCAATAGCTGCTTTTTCTTTCTAAGTTTTTAAATCATCGGGTTTTCATTTATTAATCCTGTTCTCCTTTTTGACTTTACAGTACACATGTGTGCTGAAATTACATTGAAGTGCAAGGTACCCTGTCAAAAGTCATTTCATCATATCATTTCAAGGTGGCATAAGTGTAGGGCCATAGTTATTAAGAAATGTGAGCAAACATAAAATTTAATTTAGACACATTGATAACACAGTAGTTTTTACTTCTGCCCTTTGTGTATGGTCACTATATTAGCCAATATTCCATTTACCACATCAATCTAAATCTGGCACATTTTATTCCATGGGCCTAAATAGCAATCAAAAAACGAAACACATTTTAATATAAATTTGTTGAATTCCAAGCGTAACAGTGGGGAAATCACACAAGTATTTTATTTTAAAATACTTTTATATTAAATATTTTTGAAAACAAAATTTCTACTAGAATATGCTACTTTAGGCAGGGTTCCCACAGGTGACTATTTGCAACTATTTTAGGCATGAGACGACAATGGCAACTTTTTTTTGCCTGAAAAGGCTAAAAAAGCAACTATTTTCAGGAAACTGGGACCTATTGGTAGACTTTTCTGTACTCCTAACGATGTTTTTTTTTAAATTTTTTTAGCACAAATTGGGTGGAAAATCTGCACCCCACAACATTGTTTCTGAACACACTGAGCCTTTTTTTTTTCTTAAAAAATAAAAAATTTTGAATTGCAAATTTGAGTCTTTACTTTCTAATTCGTTTAATCTACACAGACTCCATTGTAAGTATTTCATTTCTCGATCACCTTTTCAATGATTATTGCTACTAAATTCCGCATGATTTTTTTTTTTTTAAAGAGAAAACAATTTTTAATACGATATTACGATGCGTGAATTTCGAATTTGAGTAATCATTTTTCATATATATATATAAACATTTACGTTTATATAAAAATTATCATATTTGCCACTAGCTTGACTGAATGGATCATGGTATATGACAATTAAGTCATTAAAAAATTTTAGTCATATTTTTGATGAATTTTTGTTCTATTTTCCAAGTTTTTGGCTACTATTTTCATGTTTTAGGCTACTAAAAGCAACTATTTTGTACATTTTTTTCTGTGGCAACCCTGCTTTAGGGTGCAATGTTTAATTAATTGGCACAAAATAACAAAAGAACCTCATAATTAAATGTTGTAACAGAGGGGACAAATAAAATCCCACATTTTTGACAAGCACTGTTATTTATGCCAAATTCTGTGATTTGGACCATCCTAAACATTATCTGTATTTTTTTTTACTCTTCAAATTCCAACCCACTTTAAGTCCAAATAATGCATCGTAACAGAGAGGACGTCTTACAAATTTGACAAAAAGTTAAAGGGAAATATCAATGTTAAAAGTGACTCTTTGGTTATTGAAAGTTGGAGTTGGCAGCACTGCTATAATTGAAACTCGTGCTACATCTTTGTAGTTAGATTTGAAAGTTTTTATTTTACCTGACACTGTTAAAAGAAAAAATTTAACTGCATTGTTTGTTTCGTTCTCAATTTCATTTATTTGGACAATAAAATTAACTACGCAATTTTTTCCTAGAACTTTTTACACTTGCAAAACTATCTATAGCCACATCAAAAGAATCCTAGTGTCTTAACTGACTGGTGTACATTAAATATGTCGGGTCCCAAAGTCCTCCAAGTTCCCAAAACAAATTAATACCTCTGGGGGTACTGATCGAAGAGTTCCCTTGTCTTTTGGATTGGGTTCAAAATTACAAGGTTACGGAGTTGAACATTGGTAGCCGTAAACTCAAATTTAGGTTCTGTTCAACGACGATTATAAAATAAAAAGTCAATGGAGCGATTGTCACAAGTCGCTATATTTAGTAATTTTTAGCCAAACAACTCTGATTTTAATTAAGAAGTTCGCATTTTCGTGAATAGCACGCATTTCATATGGTGTTTTACCTACGCATTAAATATGGATAAATCGTAGTACAGTAAAACTTAGATTTGCCAATTTTTATGTTTGGATGCATCTGCTTTGATACTTGATATGCTTCCATCATGGTGCACATTCTGTCTATTTTCTTTGACAATCATGTACTCATCTCTATCAGAAGTCTGGTAAGAAAGTTTATCAGATGAGTAGAAATTTATTACAAGTTTTTGTTTCATCAGTAACTTTGTTACTATGCTATTTCTTTTGTTTTGGTAGTAAGGTTACAGAGCATGCAAAGAACAGTACAACGTTTTCTTGGATATGTAGGTAATGCTCAGTTTGCTTTTTTAATAGATTTCCCCAATGCCTAAGGGATATTATAAAAAGAATATCCTTCCTGAATTTCTACTGCTTGTATCAGTTCCTTTTTATTTTTCCTTTGTCTTCCTTTTTTCNTTTTTTTTTTTTTTTAATTTACCTATTTCGCTGTTAATTTTTTTTAATTTTTTCAAAATGCTTCTGTTATCATAAATTTTCGTTTCATATTCTTTATCTTTTTTCTTAAAAATATCTTTTTTTTTAGAACTTTCTATTTCTATATTCTCGCATTCTTTCTGCTGCTGTTTTCCCCATATTGATTACTCACTTAAAAAACTAACTTAAACTAAACACACTATTAAATAAAAATGGCATAGCTTTCTATAAAAAGTGTGCTCTAATATTTGAGGGACTGGATTAAACTAGTTGAATCAAGATGCATTAATTTTTTTTGACGGTAATCGCTACATAATTACTTTACTTAGGAACAATTTATTTTACAATATAAATCGAACTATACATAAAATCGTAATATTTTTAATAACTTATTCTTCTTTAAAATTGACAGTTTTTTTTGGTAGAATAAGTCAGAATCATGAATGCTCTCTATTTATCATAAATTGAACTATAATCATGCATAACTCCAAAATAAATTTTGAATTCATAAATTACCAGGATATTGCTTAAACTTTAAAAATTTACTACTGGTTTCAGTTGGCATGGAATTCAACATTTTTTATTTTACCACAATATTAATAAAAATGTAGCTGTAAATTATTAAACCTTCCGAAAAAAGAAATTTTTTTTTGTAACTATCAAAATTGAAAAGCCTGTTATTTGTTTTTTATACTAATGATTTTTATTCTTTTTTAATATTTCCCTTCTTCAAGGATGCTAGCAAGAGGGTATTGTAGCTTTCCTTGGGGAGGATAATATTTAAAAAAAAAAAAAAAAAAATATTTGATATAATTGCATCTACAACTAGAGGTTTAATTTGGGGAAACGAGAACTTTTTTTTAGGGAGGGGATACTTTTAGTGGGGATTTTTCTTAAGCCAAGTTCATTATACCTTCAACTCAAAATTCACACAATAAGAGCACATAATATGATTCACATCTATCATCAATAGATTGGTCGAACTAATACAGTTTTAATTTTTCTGGGTCGAGAAGTCATTTTTTGTTGCCTCTTTTGGTGGTGTAATTATTTTGTTCATTTTTTTACCACGTTTATATAAACTTGC